TAAAAGTCTTTGGCACCACACCTGAGGATAAACTGCTATTCAGAATATTCAACTGCTATTCAGTTTATGTAGTAAGGGCTGCCATTAAGCAAGAGACATCATGAAGATCAAGGAACTCTCCACACTGATCAGAGATAAAAGTGTGAACAAGTACTAATCAGGGTTAGAGTATCAAAAATATTGCCAGTTTTTCTTTAGTGGATTTTAGCTGATCTCCATGATTAGGATAAATCACACATTCAGAGTGTTAGTTATTCTTTATACCAACATAAAAAGGATGAAATATCTCCGCCTTCTCTTGTTCAGATCTGAATCCACAACATCTTGGATTACAAGAGCTGCCATTTTTAGAATGTGTGGGGCTCTATGACCCACCTACATCACTGCACACAATCATGGAGTTACAGGATCTTTCTTTTAAACACAAAATAATGAATCACATCTAAGATCAAATGTTTTGTGGTTATTTAAACATTCAGCATTTCATGTTACCAAAACAGCTATAACTCTGTTATTTCTCAACATATCTTAGTTTAAACTTCTGGCATGAAAAGCAGTGAGTGATATGGATCCCTTCAAAGAAAGCTAGGCCTTCAATTTAATTAGAAAATGGAAAGATGTTGCTACTGCTGAAAACCATGAGGCTCGTCCACTGTAGCTCTGGACCAGGTAAGGAGGGCATTATCAGAGAAACAACCCGGTGGGAAGAATTGTTCATAGGACCTCTATAAGCTGCAGAGAGCTAAACTTTATAAAAAAGTGACCCTGATAAAGAAATTGGGAGTAAACTGGTCAGATCTAAAGAAAAAAATGAATGGAGCAAAATACAGAGCTCCATTGTTGTTGTGGTTTCTAAGGCACAAAGTAATGCTGAGCATGTGCAGAGCAGTTTTCTGCATCATCCTGTCTGAAAACTTTTTATTTCAAATTTTCTCCCTAACAATGTGCAAACACAGCAGAAGTTCTGTATTTTTAGGTGGGGCCTCAGCTTAACCTCACATCTGAATCCACCTTATTCCTGGTGGCTCTACTGTATAAATGATTATGGGTACAACTTCCTGTCAGACAGGAAGTAGCAGTAAGCCTTGGTTAACTATGGTAAAGGACCGCGGTTTATTTGAAAGTAATTTACATTCAGTTTAGCAGATAAAACTCTGTTTTTGTTTTGTTTACGTTCATCCATCCATCCATTATCTTTTACCCGCTTCTTCCATTTTGGGTCATGGGGGTCGCCGGTGCCCATGTCCAGCAATCATTGTGCGAGGGGCGGGGTACACCCTGGACAGGTCGCAAGTCCATCACAGGGACACATAGAGACAAACAACCATTCACTCTCTCACTCACACCAAGGGACAATTTAGAGTTACCAATCAGCCTAACATGCATGTTTTTGGTCTGTGGGAGGAATCCGGAGTACCCGGAGAAAGCCCATGCATGCACGAAGAGAACATACAAACGCCACCCAGAAAGGCCCCTGGACCGGGATTTGAACCAGGGCCCTGCTCGCTGAGAGGCAGCAGCTTTACCAGTTGCGCCACCGTGTTGCCCTTACATTTATTTAACAACCATAAAATTTACTAAAATTGCCGTGCTGAGTTCAGGTACCTGTTGTGTTCAGGTACCTGTTGTGTTCACAGCTGTAGGAATACCAGACCAAACTAAATCAGTAACTACAACAACAGAGTTTTGTCCTCTCAACCAGCCGGTCAAAGCAGATGGCCGCTTGTCCTGAGCCTGGTTCTGCTGGAGGTTTCTTCCTTTTAAAAGGGAGTTTTTTTCTTTCCACTGTTGCCACTGTGCTTGTTCAGGATGGGAGACTGCAACAAAGCCAAGATTCAACTTGTCTGCTGGATTCCTTAGATAGAGAACTTTACTAATTGGCTTTTATGTATGTGAATGTTCCTGTAAAGTGCCCTGAGACAACTTTGTTGTGATTTGGCGCTATATAAATAAACTGAATTGAATTGAATTGAACACAGACCCAAAACAAAAAGAGTGTTCCTGTGAACAGAGGTATAGTTTCCATCCCCTCCCTGTAGGGGAAGAAGAATGTGACTGAAAAATGTGAACTTGAAGAGACCACCCAAAACGATGTATGTGTGCTCATTTCACTTTGTTGACAAACGGCCGACGGAGGAAAACCTGCATCCTACTTTGTGTCTGGACTACAATAAACCACCAGAGAAGAGACGCTGGATACTCAGAAGGATTGAAAACAGTGACGAAAACATCAGGTATGATTTTAAGTATATTGAGGTCACAGCTTTATAGTATTTGTTCATCTTCAGTGTTATGGTTTTCTCTGCAGTTAACCCAAGCCCAGTGATGGAGGACTTTAAGTCTTTGTCTGGCCTCTGTGTCTGCTTTAAGGTCAATAAGATTGTGTCCCACTTCTTTTAACAAAACACCACCGACCTTATTACTGTGTAGATACTGATACATCTCAGAGCTTTCAGGTTGTTCATCGCTTCACCATTGGAAAAACTGAGTCAGTGAAGTAAATGGACTGTACTTATATAGCAACTTTCTATCTTATTTCAAGATACTCAAAGCACTTTACATTACAATCTGTGTCCTCCTTTACCCATTCATACAGCACTCTACTAGATCTCTACAAAGATAATTGAACAAATCATTCTAAAGAGACTAATCAGAGCTTTATCACATTCATACACCGATGGGACACACATCGGAGGTTATGAGGGGTCCAGTG